GGCACCATACCTACAGGTTAGGGAACTCCCCTCTTGTTAGCACAGAGGCGGAAAAAGATCTTGAAGTCATCAATGACTCCAAGATGAACATGGGCCGGCAGGGTGCGGAGGCAGTTAGGAAGGCCAACTGCACCCTGTCATGCATCCACAGATGCATCTCGAGCAGGTCCAAGGAGGTGATCCTCCCCCTCTATGCGGCACTGGTCAGGCCGTAGTTGGAGTACTGCATCCAGTTCTGGGTGCCACACTTCAAGAGGGATGTGGACAGCATGGAGAGGGTCCAGAGGAGGGCCACCCGCATGATCAGGGGACAGCAGGGCAGGCCCTATGTGGAGAGGCTACGGGACCTGAACCTGTTCAGCCTCCACAAGAGAAGGCTGAGGGGGGATCTTGTGGCCTGTTATAAACTAGTCAGGGGGGATCAGAAGGCATTGGGGGAGTCACTGTTCCCCTGAGCACCGCCAGGAGTGACCAGGAATAACGGTCACAAGCTGGCAGTGGGTAGGTTTAGGTTAGATATCAGCAGGCGCTACTTCACAGTCAGGGCGGCTAGGGTCTGGAACCAACTTCCAAGAGAAGTGGTGCAGGCTCCTACCCTGGGGGTTTTTAAGAGGAGGTTAGATAAACACCTTGCTGGGGTCGTTTGACCCCAGTACTCTTTCCTGCCATGGCAGGGGGTCGGACTAAATGTTCTTCTCAGGTCTCTTCCGACCCTAGAAACTATGGGGCCCGGAGGACAGGGGAGGGGACCATGGGGAGACTGCCACCAGGCCCCACCCCCTGCCTGCTCCCCTAGCCTCCCTGAGTGTCCCCTAACCCCACGCACTCTCCCAGCTCCTCCCAGGGCTGCCCCACCCGGCCCCAGCTACCGGCTCTCTGAAAAAAAAAAAAAATCCCACACTCACTAGCTGCTACCAGGTAGAGCAGTGGCGGGCAGCGGGGATCACACCCCCCCACCTGGCAGTACCTGGTGAGTGGGGGGCTTTTTTTTAAGAACTGGGAGCTGGAGCAGGCAAGGCAGCCATGGGGGTGGCTGGGAGAGTGGTCGGGGAGTTCGTGGCAGAGCCCTCCATGCAGCATGGGGCAGCAGGGATCATCCCCACACACCCACCCTGTCTGGCAGCAGCCAGTGAGTGCTGTGCATTTTTTTTTTTTTTTTTTTTT